GATTCATGTAAAACAATCCACAGCCGTTGGGTTAAAAAGACCAATTGGTGTCTCCTGTTTTTATGTCCCCACTTTTCCTATTGCGCGCCATGATGTTTTGGCAAATCGACCTTAACGTCTCTTAGCTGGAAAGAAAGTGTTCCTCCCACGGGCAGGCCTGCAGCGCAGCTGATCGGTCACCAATGCCCACTCCGCCCCGCATGTGTTAGCGCCGTTAGCCGCGGAGGAACGCACAAACACACATCATCATCATCATCCCGGGGCAATGTTGCGTCTCCCTGGCACGTCGCCAGCTGCGCGCATGTTGAAATCGCACTTTTCACACACGCGTCTGTGCCGTAGAAACGTGGGAAAAGAGATATTGGCAGCAGCAGCAACAGTTAATGCGTGGCCTTACTACAACATTACGCACTCGCAGCTTCCTCGTACGAGACCACATCTTACCTCGAGGGGCCAAGTGGATCATTATGCGTCTGCACATAGGCAGATATGGTATTAATGGCCGTATTCCACTTGATGTCGAGGGCTCGCATTATCTCGCCGGCAGCTGTGGGGGCCCCCCGCTGTTTGATGTATGGACACATGGCTTACAGTGCAGATAGTGGGAGATGAGAACATTGTTGGAGTGATTGTCTCGATTTTCCGGCCCAAAGCGTATCCTTATCACCGGGGCGAGGCTGAAGTTCAGTGCTTTCAATGAGTGAGCTTCGTGGTGCACTTTGAAGAAAGGAAAAAAAGGAAAAAAAAAAGCTTGTAACTTCTAAGAAGTATGAAATGAAGATGCTGGATAACGTCCCATTGATGAGATTTCTTTTTTTTTTGGGGAACTAGACTGGAGACTTTGGATAAGTTACTTAGTCTCATGAACTCAAAGGGGGGAAAAACACAATTATTCCTACTTTCACCTCTACTCGTATCACTTCCACCTCCCGTTCTCTCTCTCTGGTCCCTTCCTTCCTTCACATCCTGCCGTCTATTTTCATATCTTCACATCTTCGCACACAGCCATAACTCTGTCCTCGTACCGCTCCTGTGTTCCCGATGCGTGAACGACACCAGGTTTGCCAGGTCGACTCTCTTCTTAGTTATCCAGCAGTAGGACTGCTATGTTCAGCTCTCATTACCAAAGGTGTTATCACACTAACGTGTGCGACAGTGGATACATTTGTGTCGTGGCAGAAGCCCGAGTGAGAGGTGCGGTGGGGTGGAAGTATTGCATGTCTAGCAGCGACACGCGTCCCTCATTTTTAAGCTGTCGAGCCTTTTTTTTCGGCTGTGTCACCGGGGTGTCATTCTGAAGGTGGGAAGTGGATTGCGACATGTTTGGAATTCGGCAAACCCAATTGTAAGTCGTTAGGTTCATTGGATTTAACCTGAAACCGCCGCTGTAAATTATAAGTAATGACTGCACCACTTCATGTGATCTTATGAGCTGTGGATGAGGAAATCTTGTTAAAACTCTCTCTCTTTCTTTCTCTCTCTCTCTCTAAAACTCAGGTTTGCTTGTGATTAATCTGAACCAACAGAAGGTTGTCAAATGGAACTGTTTTTTCTTTATTGCCAATTGCTGTCTGCGCTCGCACACACTCGGGACGCACGCACGCTTTATGATTACATCAGGCTAAACTAGCTCGTTTATCATCTTACATCACATTACCTTGTGGCCCATAGTTGTAGGGGGCAGATGGTGGCACTAGCGCGAGCGCGCCCGTGTTGTGTACACTCGCGAGTGCGTGTGTGTGTGTGCAGGCGCCCGGGCACTCGGTCTCCGGAGGTGTAACCCCGGCTCTGCATGCCAAGCCGTGCCAAGTGCTCACAGCTGGCAGCGACCAAGCAGTTGGTCTCCCTGGACAAGTTGCCCCCTGCGCCAGGACAAACAGGAAATAAGCCCCGAGGCCTGGCAGGAAACTGTCTCTGCAGCCAATGGGAAGAGGGAGGTGGGGGAGAGGGGAGAACAGCTTGGAGAGGCAGGGTTGCAATAGCAACAGAAGAGATGTCAAATTGGTGTGTAGGAGAAGCAGAGGGGAGGAGGGAGAATAGAGAGGCAAAGCGTTGGTGTAGAAGGAGAGAGATCAAGAGACTATCAGAGGAAAATCCAGGTGCGAGCAGCAGACTGATGGGGGGGAGCAGAGAGCTGTAACTATGTCAAGAAGAGAATAATAGTCACCTTAAATCCGGGTTGTCGGAGGAAGTTTGGATTCCTAAATTAAACGCTCGCGTTTTGTAAATAAAGGATTTCAAAGAAAATCATGTGATGTTTCTCACTTTCGAGCAAACAGTTGCCGCTTTGCAGTTACTTCGAATGCACGCGTGTATTTTTATTAGAGTTGCGTCTGTATGGACCCGATGCCTCCTTTACTTTGCCTCCAAGTCGTGTCTGCGTGTCCTGGGCTTCTCTGCCAATTTGATCACAAGACGCCCACCTCCGCGCGTCTGTGTTTGTGCTCAGCTTCCGCCGCAAAGGTGATTGTGCGCATCATACCGGCTTTCTCTTCCTCTGAAGAACCTCCGACTATCATCCGGCGAGAGGTTATTTTGGGAGGCAGAACGAAAGCCGCTCAGATTCCCAATTCTGTGAGGCGAGGCCCACCGAAGCTTGAACCTCCAGAAACTCCCCGTGTTCTTATTCTCGGAGCATTTCCTGCTGGGAGACACGGATCATGTCCCGGACATGTCTCGTCAGCTGGTCCACAATGCTCCTAGTCTGAAGGCGGATCAAGTGGTTCATGAAAATGAAACCCAGCCACAGGTTGTGATATCATCAGGCATTCAGCACACAGATTTTATTCTTTTGTCCTCTTAAACAGTGAACAGAATGAGCTGTCTGGACTCCCTGGCCACAGAAGTGACTAATGACCGGAGCTCCGGCTGTTTTTTAAGCATTCATCAGTGTCGAGCCGGTGTGTGTGTGCGGGTCAGCAGCGGTTCCGCCAGCAACCACAGGGGGCACTGTTGCCTAATGTGATCTGGCTGCACTGATCAGGCGCTCCCACCGCATGGCCCATGAGCCCTTCCTCTAGTGTGTCCTTGTTATTGTGATGAGCTACGCCCCAATTCCAGCGCGACTACTGGAAGCCGTCCCTTCTCATCTGCTCTGGAGTCGAGGTCTGTGTTTGGAACCGAGCCCGACAGCGAGGCTTCAGCCGGGCGACAAGGTCTGATTTGAGACTTTGGGATGCCCAAAGTCCCCCCAGAACACCGGAGCGGCGGCACTCTCACCGCCTTGTTAATCAGCAACGACACCACGCGGATTGCCAGTCAGCCTGTTTACAATCAATCTTTTCTACTACAAATTTAATGGCACCACTGTTACCCAAAGAGAGAGAGAGAGAGAGACAGGGCATTCATGTGTTGTCATTGTCTCCTGCATCGCTTTAGAGAAGCCATCAAACCGAATACTGACTTCAAATTGGTCAGATGGCGACCGCTGCTGTCTCTGTGCCGTTCCAACAGCTGCGCCAGCGCTGCATTTATCTTTAGCTGATTGTAGTTGACTTCATCTGTAGCCTCAATTTAAGCAGGGCAGAAATATTGCTTTCATCACATCAGTTGTCTGGTTTTCTTTTTTCCATTTAGATGTCGCTCCAAAAATGGGGTTTTTCATGAATACCGTGCATGTTTGCACTAACAATGTCAGTTGTGTGCACGGCCTTGCGTTCGTATTGTGGTCAGAATGAACTGCGCCGGCGACTGATCACAATCCGGCCCCCTGACCACACGTCCGCATCCGGTATTAGAGATCTGGTAGCTGTGTGAACGCAGTGTGTGCGGACCTCCTTGATCTGTCCGGGTGTGATGGGATGAAAGGGTCTCGCTGAAATGAAGGAACCGCGGCCTCTTTCCGTCCGCTTCCCGTCCATCCTTACCTGACTTCAAGCAGACGAGACAATGATGTGAGCGCGTGCTTGGCGGGGTGTTGGACGAGCGCACACGCAGCCTAGTTGTAACTAGCTTTGTAGTCCTGGCCCGCCGTCTGTCTGTCTGTCTGAGCATGCTCATTACAACCTTGACAACATTCCACTGGGGTTGCCAAGGATACCAAGCAGAGCTGCCAGGTCTTGTGTGTGTGCGAGCGAGTGGGTATTAGGAATGCAAGAACTCACACAAATGCATAACTCCAATTTTTAGTTTTTTTTTGTTTGCAGCCAGCACATCCCTTTTCCTCCGTCTCTCTATAGATCATTGTTAATCAGTCTCGTCCCGTCTCCTCTCCACTGGCTGTCAGCGGCTTGTCAGGAGCCCGTCAAAAGCCCCTGCAGTCCGTCACACACTGCTGCCGTTAATGACATCTGATGACACCCGTCGTTGAAGTCACCCCCGCTGGAGACGACCGGGGACTCGGGGGCGCTCGCCCGCTTGGATGTTGTTTTCCTCTGCAGCGGTGGAGATGCCCTCGTCCTAATCCGTACTTCCTTCTTTACCGCGCTCTTCGCAAAAATGCCGTTGTGCCTATTTTTCGATAGACGTTTACGAACGGCGTCCACAGAATATCAACAAAAAATAATGCATGAAATGATGACATTTTTGTGACATCATTCGGAGTGGTAGTTTTACTTCCAACAAGTTGGAAGTAAAACAGATAGAATAGAAAATAACAAACAGTACAAATGATGCCGTGTGCGCGGAGGCTGCGTGACATTTACTGAATGTTCAATGCAGCTGTGGGAAAAAGGTTGAACCGCTGTTTTTAAAAAAAAAAAAAAGATGCTAATCGTTCGGCTGCTCCGGTTGGCCGCTTGGTTCCTCCCTCCTTTCTTCTCGTCGTGGTTCCTTTCCATATGTCTCTTTCATAAGCACACCACCCTCACCTCTCCCGTCTTCAGTGGTGAGCTTATGATGGAGCCCCCCCCCCCCCCCTGCTGTGCCGGTAGACCTGAAGTGTTTCTTTCGCTTCTTACATTTTCCCTCCCATTTTCATTTCACCTGTCTCTTTCCCCATGCACTGCTTATTTCTCACTCTCTCTCTCTTTCTCTGTGTCCCCCTTTTTTGTCTTCTGCAGAGGAGGAAGTGGAAAACTTTGATGTCTCCAGTCTCCAGGAAGAGGCCCTGAGGAACATCGAGGCTGACAGCTTCTGGTGCATGAGCAAGCTGCTGGACGGCATCCAGGTAAGCACGCGGACGTGTCGACAAGATGTCGAATGTCTTCGAATAAAACGCCACAAATGCCCACGTATGTTTCTGTAACAGCCTCTCTTCACCTTCTACTCGCTTCTCTAATCTGCTCTTGATAAAGAGAAGTGTTCCCACTTGCCACTTGTTTACCTCAGCTCCCCGCCCGTTTGCACCAGTCAGGAGCCGCGCGATCGGCTCGCAGCACGGCTGGCGTGGCGTCTGCAGGTTAACACGAGGTGGGTCGGATGATAACCCGAGGGCGAGACCTCCCGACCTCACAGACCGTCGATCCGAAACGGCGAGCTGAGAGTGGCTGGAAGCTGTGTTCAGCAGCACGCTGAGGTATTGATTCTCTGGCGGTGTTAGCGGCTTCTAAGCAACCGCTTCACATCACAGGAGGTCATGTGCTTCACTGGTTGGCATACCGGTCTGGATTTTGCCTGATCGAGAAGTTTCTTTCTGACTGGAGCTTTTACATATTTCTCAGGGACAGTATAGTCGGGTATACACACTCGTCGAGGTCACGCTGCACAATGTGTGAAAAAGGAATGAAAAGATATCTTAAAAGAAAAAAGACTCCATGCTAATGTCAGATCTCTGTTTGGCTCCAATAGTCGTGGCCTGGGTGTCACCGTTCTGTCTTTGCGGCCATGTTTTAGCACGGCTACTCTTATCATTGTACATCCTGGCACAGTTAAAGAAGCATCCGCCAAGTCCCCCCCCCCAATGACCCTAATCTAAAGTAACACTTAAGAGGATGGCCATGGCAGTTAGCCCTTAAGTGTATTGATTTGGCGATATGCTTATTGTTGTATGGAAATAAGTGTTTCAGGGGTGAAAGAAAGACCCTGAACCTCGATGACAAGGTGACGTTTTGGTTGAGGAAAGATGGTTTTTAATTGGTCATTTCTAATAGTTCATGTTGTTTAATACACTCGTGCATTAAAGATATACTCCATGTCGTGACAGTCAATATATATCTCGCCCAGGCCCCCCCACACACTAAAGGTAATTAATAGCGAGGAGCATGTGGTGTGCATAAAGCGTGATCATCCATAAATAACTATCAATTGGTCGGCTATTCATTTAGGAAATGAATAGAGGCTGTGCCTTGTTGGCCCTGAGAGAGCGAGACAGAGCGACACACGGAGAGCAGAGGAGGTAAGAAGAGAAGAATGGAGTGTGCGGATGCTGTTTGTCCCCCCCCCCCCCCCCCGCTTGTTTTTGTTCGTGACCTTGACTCCAAACTAATTACGTGCAATGCACCAGGGAAGCCCATGTCCCCCCCCCCCCCTAATGCTTTCTAAACAATGTGACGGAGGCTGAGTGCCTCCGCACCATAATTAGTTGGTGATCCTTGTTCTGACCTCGGCTCCAGCCCTCTCACATCCACTATACACTATTACACTTAACTGAGGGGCCTGAAGGCGGGAGGGGGGAGGGGGGGGGGATTAGGGAGTTCGAGAGGAGGAGAGTCTGCATCTGCTCACTGCCTTTTAAGCACCGTATATGTATATATATATATATATATATATATATATCCAGTACCTCCTGGATAACCGCTGCCACGCCGGTGTCCACTTGTTTTCGGACCAATTTGTGTAAAATATTTAACGGATTTTAATTGCGTCACAATGCGGAACAAACTCATAAGTGGGGAGGTTTGGAAAACAGGGTTGGGGGAAAAAAAAAAGAAGATTCACCCATGAAACAGCTGGTGTGGTTTTCTATCGTTACGGTACCTGGTGTACAGTGGAAATACTTTTGAAAGTTTTCCTCATTTATAATGCGGCAAATTGGCCATTAAGCTTAGCCATCTTCACTGCCAGGCCTCTTCCCCACCTAAGAGAAGAAGAACGGGCTATTTTGACTGTCAATTCGCTTAAGCAGCCTCGCTAATGAGCCGCTGCTTTAATTGGCAACACTGCAGCCCCCCCCCACACACACACACACGCGCACGCACACACACTTCCTTCAGGAGCAGGCCCTGGGTATGAGGTGTGTAGGTGTCCCAGCTGTACAAATGAGTTGTTTAGGAGGATGTTTTATTTCCCGTTAATCTTCACACTTCAAGAAGCACTAAAATGTGGAGAATTGCTCCATCTTTGGATGACCCCTTTTAACAGCTGGGGACTGACTGGAGAGCTACATTTGTGTGTGTGTGTGTGTGTGTGTGTGTGTGTGTGTGTGTGTGT